CAATCACTGGTCACCAGTTCGGACGAGTTTTTAAAGAGAGACGAGAGAGCGGTTGTGTCGTGTGTGTGTGCGTGTGCGTGCGCAGCGTGTGTGTGTGTGTTGGTTGGTGCTGTGTGGTGCGGTGCGTGTGCGTGCTGCGTGTGCGTGTGAGTGTGTGCTGTGTGCGGTGTGGTGTGTGGTGTTCTGTGTGTGTGTGTGTGTGTGTGTGGTGTGCGCGGTGGTGTCGGCGTGTGTGTGTGTGTGTGTGTGTTGTGGGTAATGTGTGGTGTGTGTGTGTTTGTGCTGTGTGTGGTATGTGTGTGTTGTGTTATGTCGTGTGGTGTGTGTGTGTGTCGCGCGCGTGTTGGTGTGCTGTGGTGTGTGTGTGTTGTTTCGGCGCGCGGCGCGTGGCGGTGCGTTGTGTGTGCGCGCGCGTTGCGCCGTGGTGTGTGTGTGCGCTGCCGGTGCGTGCGCGTTGGTGTGTGTGTGTATGGGTGATGAAGAAGAGAGACGAGTGGAGCAGAAATGTGTGTATCGTGTTGTTTGTGTGTCTGTGTGTGTCTGTGTGTGTCTCTGTGTGTGTGAGAGAGTAAGAGGTGTATGTGACTGTAGGGCGTTAAGTAAGGCACTGCACACGACACGAGCAGCGTGGTGTTTGCCATGACAGTGTTTTTCCTGTCATCAGTGCGTTGACAACTGGTTCTCTCCATGCTGGTATCCGCGCCTATACACTTCTATAATGTATAGTATAGTCACTTCACTTCGGCCGACCCGTGCAGTCTGTCTGTAACCTATGTCTTATAGTGGAACGTAAAGGCTGGTATAAGTTACAATCTAGATCGTACGCTATAGTTTATTAGTTCTAATATGCAACATGTAGCTAAGTGGGAACGCAGTATAACATAATGTCATACGTAACATACGCAGTGTAGCGTAAGCATACGTAACAATACCAGCTGTACATATTAACATTACGTAACGATACGCAGTATACATCATACGGTAAACTACGCAGTAAAAAATATACATTTACTGTAACATTCCGGCAGTGTTACGTAACATACGCAGTATAACGTAACATACGTAACATACGCATATACGTAAGACATATTAACGATTACCAGTGTACATAACATCGGCAGCGACGGTGAAGTGACGGTAACCGCGACAAGTACGTGCAAACGTTACGCCCAAGAAAAATCATCTAATGTTAGTTCGCCTCCTGGCTCATCCATCGCTACATGACGGTAAGCACATGTTTACCACCTCATCGAATCATGGCGGTACGCAGATGCTATAACACGGATTAAGCTAAAACGCAGCGTAAGACAGAAGCGATGCCACACCTCGTATTCCCCCTGATTCACACATCACAGAGGCGGCAACACCACGAGATCTATAAATAGCTTAAAATATTGCTGCTCATGGCACTGATTCAACCACTGCCCTGTTTAACGGCAGACTGTAGTGTGGCACTGGTTCTCATTTCGGCGCGAGCGCCTATCGTACGATGCCACACTGCATTCACAGAGGCACATCGTGTACGCGAAGCTGCCAAGTCTCACCACCGTTCATACGCGAAATAATAATCAAGCTCACCACTTACTCCAGTGCCACGTAGGTGGTCGATACACTCATTCGCAGTTATAGATGGTCAACCGACCGTGCAGGTGCGCTACTCACACACCAGTCAGCGAAACAGATGGTGTCGGTCTAGATCGAATCGATTACTCGCCAACCTCGGAGTCTGGCTTGCTCTGACAGTCGCGTCCTGTTCAGAGCAAACACAGTCTCTGATGACGTAGTTCACTACGACACAGACGCATATTACCGAGTGTATATTACCTGTTTGCATTTCTCGTACGATCCTGCGATAGCGCGTTTTTGTGGAAGGCTCGTTTGAAACTCATGGCGTTTTGAAAGATAACGTGAGACATTACGTCGCTAGCGACACACATAACACACACACACACACACACGCACACACAACACACAGCCGCGCGCGGCGCGCGCGCAACGACACACACACACACACCACACACACACAGCCCGCGCGGCGCACCGAGCGCACACACGCCACGGCACGCGCGCCAACACACACAGGATCACACACACACAAAAACACACACACACAGCACACACACATCACACACACAACACGACAGCACACACATATATATATATATATAATTATTATATATACTATATATCCACTACAGATATAATAGGCAAACAAACATCCAATGCGTAGATCGAATTGACTTTATAATACACTCCTTGATTTTCGATCGCTCATCGCCATTGCCTCACACTGGCGACTGCAGGGTAAAAGAGGGAGATATGAAAGGCGCCGGCCCTGCGGCTGTTCTTGCCTGGCTAGCTTGTTAATCCGGCGTTACTTTTCCAGCAAACCACACGCCGATCTCGATGATCTCTAGATCCGATGTCAAATCGGTGTTGCTCCTCGGTAAGTATTGCCACTCTTTGTTCACACCAGGGCTCGCGGTTTCTATCCGTCAGAAGCTGTAGCCTATAGCAAGACATGCCGAATACAAAGAACATCTTGACCTCTCACAGCAGATACATACCGGAACTAACCTGCCGTCGTGTGTACTAATAACCAGCAGTATAGAAGATACATATAACGTACGAGCGGTGTGTATGTATAGCATAGGCAGACACCTATGAACCTAGGTGGCCTATACTTACATACCGGCTCGCTTGGCACACCGGCGACAGAAGCGAAAATATCTTGAACAGATGTGAGTCTTATATTCCGCACCTAAGGTAATACTTGAATTTTAGCAGATTTGACTGGACAGTAAGACGTAGAAGCACACAATGTATGTCTCGGGCGACCCACACCTGTCGACTGATGAATGCAGTCAAAGACTGACTATACGACGAAAAAACTATAGACGGCAGACATCGAGACGTTGAAACCCATCGCGTTAGGATGTGGCAGCGCTGGTGTATAATAGAGATACCCCATCTTAAGCACACTCCGTAGAAGGGAATCGAATACTATAGCTCTCCCTCCTCTCTCAGCACACTCTCCCTGCATCTCCCCTCTCTGCCATATATATATATATAATATCTTCTCATCAGGTACTTCTACCTCTCCTGCCCCGTATACACCTAGACCTCTTCATCGTCTCTCTCCTCCCCTCCCCCCGCTCTCTCACATTTCTCTCTTCTCGTCTCGCAATCTCCTCTTCTCTCTCTTCTTCTTTCTCTCTTCTCTCTCTCTTTTTCTCTGCTCTCTCACCGTCTCTCGTCTCTCTTCTCCTCCTCTCTCTCTCTCTCTTTCTCTCTCTCCTAGGTCTCTCTCTCCTCCTCTCTCTCTCGTACTCTCTCTCTTTCCCTCTTCTCTCTCTCTCTCTTCGTCTCACTCTCTCTCTCTCATTTCTCTCTCTCTGCCTCATCTTCTCTTTTCTCCTCTCTCTCTCTTTCTCTCTCTATCTCATCTGGTCTCTCTCCCTCTCGCCGTCTCCCGCCGCTCTCCTCATGCCTCTCCACCTCTCACTTCCTCTCCCTCGCCTCTTCGGATCTCTCTCGCCTCTCTCCTCCTCTCTCTCTCTCTCTCTCATCTCTCTCACATTTCTCTCTCCTCCGCATCCTCTACCCTCTGCTCTCTCTCGCTCATCATCTCTCTCTCTCTCTTTCTCTCTCTGCCTCTACCTATCATTATCCTACCTCTTCTTTGAGTAGATCGACCTGTCTTGTATTGTCTCTAGTCACGTGACGTTTCACCGTAGACACGTCCCGTAGCTGTCGCACCTCTGCCATCAACAGCGCCCTCTGGCGCGCAGCCTGTGAGCATGTCGGCAGAAGCGTAACTCAAAACTACGAAGTAATTATATTATAATTTATGTAGTTGGTTTTTGCAATAAAGTTAAAAAAAAATTATTTCTGGGCAAATCGAGACTTCGGGTTTAAGAAACGATGTAATCACAAATTGTATTTGCAAGAAAGATCGAAGCAGTTAATATGATCTGAAAACCGTCAGCGATCAATAATCGAAGACACTTAGGGGTCAACAATAAGGCAACACATTATACAGGTAAGAACCTAACAACGTATAGAGAAAGTAAATCAATTTCTTTTAAATTGATGAGTTAATTAATCTTTTTAATTATATTTTTATTTAAATCCCGATAACTATACAATCTCGCCATACCTCCTTCAGTTGACCAGCCAGTCTCTCATTGTCTTCTCTGAGCTCGTTAATCGAGGTTGTCGTCTGTCGCTGATATGTCGCCGAGGTGCGCCGTAGTTCCTCCCGTCCCTCTCGCACCTGTCGTAACTCTGCGTTGACGTCTGATAGACGAGCGTCGTAAACTGCCGCCACATTCTCCAGATTTCTCCTCAGTTCGTGTTCAGCTCGCTCGTGCTCCTATAGCATCCATCCCACCCCCCAAATCAAACCGTCTACATGTAGTAACCCGTTTCAAGCATTAAGGTTTGATGTGCATCAGATGTCGGAGAGTGCGTTGTATGTACATGACCCCTGACTATTGTACATGTATTATTTAAAGTCCAAATTTTGATAGCAGACAAAGAAGAAAATTAATTTCCTTAATGCGAAGCGGATGAACAGCAAATGACTTCTCCACGGACCGTAACGGGCGAGCCTGCAATTATCTGTGAAGCCATTCTGAATAATGATGATATAAATTATAATACATAAAAATGTGAAAAATGTATAAAAAAAAACGTTTCCTCAATAAACGAGCCGGCATTTTGCAATAATGGTAGAAACTATGTTGCCAAAATTATCTAATTGTGAATTCAGTTATTATTATCTATTGTTATTATTTATATTATATTATTATATATATATATATACGTTCTCTCTTCTCGTATCCAATTACTTCAGAGATTTCACAATGTGACCTATACTCTATGAATGAAACGCCTAATCAAATAAAAGTTGGCGTGCGACCTAATGTGATGTGTAGGCTGATGATTGCGCGTAACCCTGGCAGTGTTAAAGATAGCAGCAAACAGGGTTCGAGAGAAAACTAAAGCAGAACGAGGGTAAGAGAAAAAACGATAAATAGAGATAGAGATGAAAGATATAGCAGATATTATGAGAGAATAGATGAGAGAGCAGAGAGGGCGGGAGAACACGCTAGAGAAGGGGAGAGCACGACGCGCACTACGAGAGAGAGGGGAAAGAGAGGGAGAGAGAGACGAAGGGCGCGAGCCAGCTAGAGCGGGACAGAGAGTGAGACCCCAGAGCGAGTGAGAGAGTGAGTGAATGAGAGGAGGAGAGACAAGGTGAGAAGAGAAGAGAGAGAGATGTAGGAGACGGGAGAGAGAGAGTGGAGAGAGGAGAGAGCAGGCGAGAAGAGAGAGAGAGAGAGGGGAGGGAGTGAGAAAGACGTGACTTAATAAAGGAGATAATTTATGCAGCGCATCAATCACCTCAACGTGTTTCTCACACTCCTCGGTAACCCTTCGCAGCGCCATCTGTAGGGCCTGATTCTCCTCCAGTAACATCTTCCCCAATTCAGCCGCCAGCAGGAGGTCCTTCTCCTTGGCAGCCAACTCCTCAATGAGATCGCCATCCTTGTCTTCCCTGTATAAGCCGCAGCCATCCTTGTCTTCCCTATATACGCTGCAGCCATCTTTGTCTTCCCTATATAAGCTGCAGCCATCCTCGTCGACGCCACTATCTGCACACGAGTTGACTTCGAACAGATTCCGGATGAAACTGTCGTCCTTTGCTGTCGTCCACTGATCTACGCAGACATCCATAAATTATTCTCGAGGTGTATGTATCGCTAGTGAATGATTTATGTATAGATTATAATCTATAGATATAATATTAGAAACCTGCACAGCTAGGATGCTTGTATAGCGCTGGTATATCCATTTATACGCTGACGGCTATGTGGGTATGAAGTATGAAGCATTGCCAGCTCATCACTTCACGACGTACAACGACAGTTTTTGCAGATAATTCACCGGCAGTTGTATCTAGTGAATGTTTCCGAGCGCATGGCGCTGCAGGGATCATAATTAACCTGAACCATAATTTTCGTTTAATATTCGCAGAAATCGCACAATCCTTAGCTTTTAGAGTTGCATTGTGAACTGTCACATGAGTACGTCATGCATCCTTTGATGTATAATATATCCTTGTACACGTAGTCCGCACAGGGTAGTACTAATTCACTGAATGAGAGTCACGTGAATGTATGAGGATCGTGATGATCAGTAATCGGAGAGCTGTGTTCCTCGGAAAAGTTTCGGCGTCGGGAAAACGAATTCGAATCAGTTACACCCGCACACGCACGCGCTCCGTTTCGCGTCGATAATAGAAATATATGTCCGCGCGTTTTACGTATGGTGCATGTCCAAATATACCACTCTGTTCCTAACTGGTAAGTGTTAGGTCATGTGTGTGTGCATGCACGCGTGGCTCCGGGCTAGGAGGGGCGAGAGAGCGCGAGTGTGCGGAGCGGGGCCCACGCGTCATGTCATGCACCAGTTAGCTAGCTAACGACAGCGCCTCTGACAACGACAGCTTTGTCGTCGTGTCACGTATAATTAGCATCCGGAAACGCTTTCTCGTTTTGTAGACCACTGAATGTAGACCCAACAATTGTTTCAAGTGCGATCTAGCCTACTCATAGAGTGCACGCACACGCGCACGCAGGCATGCACACACGCCACATGCACGCACACACGCAACATGCACGCACACACGCAATATGCACGCACACACACATCACGCCACATATTTACACTGCCTTTGAGTTTTTTGTTTTTTTCTAATGGATGTAAAACATGTGTAAAACTAGACAGAGGGCACTCACGGAGAGTGCATACCTCCGCCA